TCAGTTCTTCATGGCAATGGCAGCTCCTTCTCCAGCTCGTTCATCCCATGGCACTAGCTTGCAAGCTCCAACACAAATCGAAACCAAAATTTGGATTCAAAGGAGAATGACCAATTTCTTCAAGAAACCATACTCTTGAAGAAATCAGTCTTGAATCTCACCTAGATATAATGAGAGAATGATTTAAGTAGCTAGATGCAGATTCGTGTTTCAAATGCAGTTTTTCAAAAAGAAATCAATTGGAAAAACTCATAGACGAAAATAAGATGGTTCTCTCGAGGAAGAAGAAGCGAAAGATGGCAAGCCAAACTTTCCAAAACTTCCACCCAAAAGAGACAGCCCCCAAATGACCAAAAACCTAGCCTTTACAGCCAAAAAATTCCTTAGGTCAGAAAACACAGATGGCAACAGAGAGAGAGAAAGAGGAATAGGACAAAACAGTTTATTATCCAACTGGAAATCCTACAGAGCAAGGATGACTAGTCATCTGAGAAACGGATGACTAGTCATCATTTTATGAAAACTGTTTTATGAAATGATATGCAATGCACAATACCTTTGTCAACTTGCTTGAACCTCCATAGAGCAGAAGTTAGAGAAGAGCACCAAGAAAGGTTTTCCTTAATCTAAACTTGAGCTTGATAAATAACAATACACATCCTATTACAAAGTTGTCAAGGGAAGCCAAAAGAAAATAACAAAAAACCATACATTAACAGAAGGGTTGGTGGAGCTTGTGTTATGACAAGTTTGATAAGACACTTTCTGAATGGGTAGGCAACTTTGATCCTACAAAGTTCAATTTGATAGTTGGAAGTAATTGTCTATCTGATTTCTAGCGTGGTACAATACGGTGAGCGTAATAGTATTTTTGTTTTAGTGCTATTAATTAATTTATGGATGTTAACTTTCGTCCAAAAAAATAAAATTATGGATGTTAACTAATGTATTTCATGATTTGGCAGAGATTTAATAGAAGCAATTGCTCAAATTCACTATTGTGGGCTTTTTCAAATATCCCTTAAATTAAATTTTAATGAGGTGGCATATGGAGGATGAAAGTCAAGCAGGTCATGGCAGATGATAGAGGATACGGATCCATGCATTATATGCATGTGCTACATTTTTCTTTCAACCTTTGAAATGGACGCTAGGTCTTATTTTACCCCTTGAAACT